CTGACTCTTATTGTCAGAGCTGACTCTTATTGTTAGAGCTGACTCTTATTGTTAGGACTGACTCATAGTTAGGGCTGTCTCTTATAGCTAGGGCTGGCTCTTATAGTTAGGGGTGACTCAGGCTTGTCTTGGACCAGCCCCAAATGAGGCTGATGAGAGGACTGAGCCGGTCCCTCATCTTCTGACCCTTCATCAGTTGATAGAACCACAGAGGCCCGGTGGGGGTAGAAAAAAACTCACCGTTCTGGATCTGAGCGACTTTCTTTGAAATCTCACTGATGATCTGAAACAAACAGAAACATCAGACGCTGTTTGAAAATATCAACTACAACTCCCAGGATGCACTTCACTGACACAGCCAATCACAGACCTTTACACTCTGTTATGTGCACTGTTTATATACAGCAGCTATCTGACTGGCTTTGTCACTATGGCAACAGGAGCTTAGGCTCTTGGGTAATGTAGTATGAAAAACATAAAACTTTCTGATTGGCTGACAGAGCAGCTACAGGTAATACTACAGGAAGTGGAGCTGATTGTTCTCAGCAAACTGCTGGAAAAGATAGTTTAAAGAAAATAATTTAACTACTGATTTTCACACAACTGGAGCAGCATGAACACAGATGACAGCATGAACACAGATGAGAGATGACCGCCTTAAAGATAGTGACAATAAAACCTGGGAGCAGTATTATGGGATGTTAGTGCAGCTCTTGATGTGGTGTACACTATAGTGTTGCTGGATAAAGTAAAATGTTCCATGTGCTGGTTCCACACTTATTTATCTGTCTTATCAGGATGTATTTTATAATGGTGGGTTTTTAAATGTGAATGAGTTAGACTGTGGTGTACCACAGGGAAGCTGTTTAAGACTATTACTGTTCTCTATCTTCACCAGTGATCTTCTTCTTGTCCTTCATTGAACCAGAGCAGTTCTGTATGCTGCTGCTGCTGCTGAACACTGTGTTTACCAGAAGCATCTATTCAAGAACTGTCTCGTGCTTTGGACAGGGAATTACAATCTGTTGCAACGTGGGCATGGTGAAATAAGTTAGTTCATAATTTATCAAAAACAAAAAGTATTTGGATCATCTTTAAGACTTAAACCACAGTTTAACCTGTTGGTACAGGAAGTGTCTGTGGAAAAGGAAGAGGAGACCAAACTCCTTGGGGTGATATCAGACAGCAGACTGATGTGGTCACAACAGATCTGGTCTGGCAGTTATTAAGAGATGTGCTAAATTCTTACCACGGGAATGTTTCTCACACGTTGTTCAATCACTAGTTCTGACTTGTTTACATCACTGACCTGCAGTGTGCTCGCGTGCATCAAGTAAAGACCGAGACAAACTACAGTTAGCCCAGAACCGTGCTGCACGGCTCATCCTGACCTGTAACAGAAGAGCTGACATCATCAGGAAGCAAACAACCTCCAGTCGCCTGTTGGTGAAGGACAAGGACACCATGTTTTTTTTCTGCTCTGTTTCAAAAACAAATGCAGAGGAGTGAAATTATGGGATGGTTTGCCATCAGACATCACACATGCAGTAAGTGCAGCTGTTGTTAAAGAGACACTTGATGGCTGAGAGCAGCAGCTCATCACTAACACGCAACTGACTGTACCAACCTTAATGTGAAACTCTCCTCATCTTTTATTCTCTCACACTGGATTACAGTTTTGTTTGTTTGTTTTTATTTGTTTGTAGTTTTCGTGTTTGTGGTTTATTTTGTTTCTTTTTGCCCCGAACTGTTGAATGATATATTTGTTTAACTCTATGAAGTCCTGTTTGCTTGTGTGGACCTCAGAAAGAGTCGCTGCTACCTTGGTGCTGACTGATGGGGATCCAAATAAATACATACAGTTAGGTCCATAATTATTTGGACAATGATACAGTTGTCGTCATTTTGGCTCTGTACACCACCACAATGGGTTTTAAATGAAACAATG